TCCTCTATGTTGTAGTTACTTTACATGTTACATTTGCATATTTTAAAAACCCAGAACAATGTTATATTTCTTGCTTTCAACCATTAAACATATTTTGAAGATGAAAGAGAAGAGGAACAGTCTATTATGGGCATCAGCAAATCCTTCCAGTAAAGAGCCAGATAATGAATATTTTTACAACAGTGTGGTGATTGCTGGTAGAGGGGAGGAGGGAGCTGTGGAAAGGGAATAGTGGGGATAAATGGTGATGGACAGAGACTGAACTTGGGGTGGTGAACACACAATACAGTGTATAGATGATGTGTTATGGAATTGTGCACCTGAAACCTGTATAATTTTGTTAACCAGTATCACCCCAACAAATTCAATAAAGAGAAATAGATAGATAGATAGATAGATAGATAGATAAAATTTTTGGCTTTTCAAGCCACACAGTGTGAGAGTAATGATTGGCAACTGCCATGTGGAATCTTCTAGAATGTGGGCAGTGTTCTATTTCTTGAACTGGCTGGGGGTTACATAGGAGTTCACTTTGTTGTAACTCACTAACTGTGTATTCTGTTTCATACACCTACTTTTGTTAGTAACTCACTGACCTACATTTGTTTTCTGCACCTAAATTTTGTGTGTATTATACATACCAGTAAAACTAAATAGATCAAAAAGCTTGAAAAAATACATCAAGGACCTTCGGACTAGATTATCAGAAAAAAAGAAGGGGTACATCAAGTGCATGGGATTTACTGCACCCATCAGCCCTTCCTTCTCTGAACAAAATTGATAGATGAAGAAATATTTACGGTTTGCCCCCAATGCTCAGATACTGAGAATATCTATTTAATGCAAAGCACTGAGATGGGAATTGCTTGTGGAGCTAGAACAGCCGTGGGCAAACTACAGCCCGCGAAATGAATAAAACTAAAAAAAAAAAAAAGACCGTACCCTTTTATGTAATGATGTTTACTTTGAATTTATATTAGTTCACACAAACACTCCATCCATGCTTTTGTTCCGGCCCTCCGGTCCAGTTTAAGAACCCATTGTGGCTCTCGAGTCAAAAAGTTTGCCCACCCCTGAGCTAGAAGTTTAAAAATTGGACTTGTGAAAAAAAGAGATTAGAGGGAGATGAGTTACATTAGGTGAAAATTCTAAGTGAATAACAGGACCAAAGGAATGAGAGAAGAAAGGGAAAGATGTTCTTCAATGAGAAAATCAACAATACGAATTCTGGGTATTTTTCCTAGGGAGGGCATGAAGGAAAATGAGGTTGAAGAGAAGGTAGTTAGAAGGGAGAGAGGAAAGAAACGGGAGAGAAATAGAAAGGAAAAGGCTGAGAAATAGAAGGATGATGAGGGAGGAAGGGGAGAAGGAAGGATGAACTAAAGAAAGGACATAAGAAAGAAGTGTGGTTAAATGATCCATACTGGGCACCTGGTACAAACCAGGCAGTCTACTCATACAATATCGGATAAACCTCACATAAACCCTGTAAAGTAGACATTATCTTTCCTATTTTATAAATAAGTAAGCAAAAACCCTGATAATTTATGTTGCTCAAAGAAACACACCTAGAAACATCAACCCTAGCTGCATGTAATTCCAAATTCTGTGATCTAGGAAAGAGAGGATGCCTTATGCTTACGTTATACTTGAGTTCTAGAAAGAATTACCCTCGAAGGTGTCTTTGCCCTTATAAGAAGTAGAAAATGTTTGATCTTCTGAACCCCTAAATCTATACTCTGTAATTCTGTGGCATCAGGCCAATTATGTGAAATACTTACCAATATCACTGACATCATCTAATTCTGCCTCACTATTATAAAGGGACGTTTTCAAAGAATCTAGTACCTTCTGGAGTGAAACCAGAAGAGCACTAAGAGATGTTCTGTTTAAGTTGAGAAACAATGCCTTACCTTCTAAGAGAATGGACACAAAATATATTCCATTGCCCAGTTTATAGTATCTGCCAACTAGGAAAGAATGCCAAAGGCATATGGGGTGGTATAGAAAATTCCAAGAGAAAACTCAAGATTACCTAAATTTCTTTAGGCTAAGCAGAGAGCAGTAGCAAATTATCAGAGAGAGGCCTCAGAAGAAAATAAACTTATTTTGACAAAATTATGTGAAGAATTGTGGACTTTGTCTCTGTATGTACCACAAATTTGGGGGTGATTTCAGAGTACTTTCCAAAAGTATTACTCATTAGTTATTTCACTTAAATTCAAAGGTTTTGAACACTTACCATGGGCCCAAAAAAAACGGTGGGAAAAGGAGACGGGAATGGGATAATTCACATGTGTTAAGAATGGGGTAGGGAATATGTCAGACACTGCCAGGATACTTTATATAGCGCAGCTCAGGATATTCATTATAGTCCCAAAAAGGCATAAAAATTAAACGAAGCTACCTCCCAGGAATAATTAGAAGTGAAAATCAATAAGGAGAAAATGGCTCATATTCTCCTCATTGATTTCCTGTGCACAGTGACTCAAACTTGACTGTTGGTTAGAAGTCAGTGTGGCTACTTCCTTATTACTTTTTCAGCAGTTGGGCACTCCTGTCAGGGCCTTTCATGCTGGAGTCTTTCTCTGCTCTAATCACAGCTGTCAGCTATCGAACGAGTTTGACACCCTGACTCCAGAAATGAGGGGATTCACACTTCATGCATAGGAAGTCAGGTTCCTTCATTAAAGCTGATTGACATAACAGAAATGGTGCACTACCACTGATTTTTATAAGCAAAACAGATGGCTACACGATCAAGTAGGGGTCTCCTTGATCAGGAACACCCAGAGAGTGAAAAAATCAGTCATTATACAGGCAACACTGTAAATATCTATACTTTTAGTACTTAAAATTGTAGATATAGCCCTGGCTGGTGTTGCTAAATGGTTAGAGAGTCAGCCTGCACACCGAAGGGTCTTGGGTTTGATTCCCATTAAAAGACACATACCTGGGTTGCAGGTTCGATCCTGGCCTGGTTGGGGCACATGCAAGAGGCAATTAATTGATGAGTTTCTCTCACATCGATGTGTCTCTCTCTCTATCCCCCTCCCTCCCTTTCACTCTCTCTAAAAATCAATGGAAAAAAATACCCTCAGGTGAGGATTAACCAAAAAAAAGGTTGTATAGGCCAGTGATGGCGAATCTCTGACACCTCTGACACGCGAACTCATTTTTTTGGTTTGTTTTTCTTTGTTAAATGGCATTTAAATATATAAAATAAATATCAAAAATATAAATCTTTGTTTTACTATGGTTGCAAATATCAAAAAATTTCTATATGTGACACGGCACCAGAGTTAAGTTAGGGTTTTTCAAAATGCTGGCACGCCGAGCTCAAAAGGTTCGCCATCACTGGTATAGGCAATCAGTCAAGAACCAGATCTGTGTACACACACACACACACACACACACACACACACACACACACACCGGACTCCTCCCCCACAATCCTTGCTGCCCATTCCAAATCATCTTGGTTGGACTTCTAGGTGTGGAGTGAAAAGGACCCTAGTTAGCTATTGTGACCTGGATTTTTGAGAATCATGAGTTTCTTGGAGAAAAAAAAAAAAGAGTATGACAGTGAACAGAATCTCCTCCTCTGTGGGGGAAAAAAATGAAACAGAACTAGAGCTTCTCAGGGTGTTTCTGTATATAACTTAATGCCATAAAATGAAAGACTCCAAGTTCAAATGGACCTGCTCATCCAAAATTACCAAAAAGCTCACAACTCTTTCAGAACATCTCCGACAAGGGCCCATTCATATTCTAGATGACATTCCTAGCAATAAAGACACCTTGTTTGGTTGGAGACAGCTTTCGGAAAATGAGAACCCAGACTGAATCAGTGTTCTAGATAGTCAGAGCCTGGACCCTCTGGGGATGCATTCCCAACCTACAACTTGTATCTATAATCAGTGTTTGCCTTCTCAAACCCCAGGATTTTATGACTCCAGTCACAACATTTTCCTGCTGTACTTCACACAATAGTTGGTTCCTGCCTCCCTGGCTACAAAGATATTATCAATGCCTTTCAAAAGGTCAAGAGGCTTCTGACTATCCCTAATTGATCTTTAACTTGTCTCCCCCATCAGTTCCTTAAATACCCAGTACAATGCTCTGTTCTATGGCAATTTGTAGAAGTTCCACCACTGCCACCAGCAATTGTTCAGCGACTCAGAACTGCTGGCAAATAATGGCCACAAAAGACAGATCCTAGTGGATGAAACAAGAATACTGGTAAGCAGCAACTCAACGGAGTGAAAAGCAGTGCTACAACTAGGTAAGAACCCAGATGGAAGATGGTGCTTGCCAAACGTATCTATGATTGTACTATTCGATGCTGAGGTATATTTCTTCTTGAATAAAAACATGGTTTTAAAACCTATCCGTGCAGGGCAAGGTAACAGACGTCACCGGCGCTGCACAAGGAAGTACCCAGAGTGTCCGGAGGCAGCCAGTCTATTCCCAAGTGTCTAAAGCGGCCCAACCCCGCGTCAGAGGGCCCCTCCGTTGCACGCTCCAGAGCAGGTATCCCATAGGAGAGCATAGTTTCTGTTGGTGCATTTTGTCTGCCTCCCGATAGAATGTACCCCGGACCCTGAGGGCAGCCTGGCCCTGGCACGTGGTCGGTGGTCTTGACTGAGGAAGTGGCTGTGACATTAATGCATACCTCAAGGAGCGAACGAATAAATGAATGAATGGACGAACGAATGATCCGGAGCCGGCCTATGCCCCGCTCCAAGGCTCCAAGCGGCTCCTCGCCCTCGTCGCCCCGCGGGCGTCGGTGAAACGCGGGCGAGCGCTCCAGGCCACGAGCTCCAAACTCCGCCTACGGCGGCCGGGAGGAGCCAGCCAGTTCCGGGCGGAAAAGCCACCTCCGGCTGCTGCCCCACCCTCGCGCACGCAGGCGTGGGCACCGGCGCTTCCCGGAGGTCACTTCCTCCCCCGTCTCCTAGCAACGGCTGGAAGCGTTGTTGACAGCCCAGGCGGAGGGAGCGCCGGACTGAGGGACTGAGCCCAGAGTTTCGCCGCCAGTGCGATGGTAAATCTGGGGTCTCCGTCTGCGACCCGGCGCTCTAAGGGCGCCGACCCGAGTGGGTCTTCTCCGCCCGGCACCCGAGGTCCATCCAAGCCGGGGCCGGGGCCGTTGCGAAGGACGGGTGTCCAGAAGCTTCTTGGAAGGGTGACTGGGAGACCCTAGACTCCGGTGACCCCTGGAGGCGGGAAAGATATCTTGGAGCATAGATATCTAGGGGGGCGGGGGTGATTTCTGGAGGTGATACTTGATGAGGAGAGATATCGAGAAAGAGATGATACTGAGGGGATGAAAGATCCTGTGTGGGATGAGAGATCTGGACTGCTAGGAAAGTGTGAAAAGGAGCGAGATGGAGAGAAAAAAATCATCTGAAAGGGAAGAAAGAGGGGACAGGAAGCGCAAGGCAATGGAGAGAGGGGGAAAGGAGATATTGAGAGAGAAGAAAATTAAATAAAAAGAAAGAAGAAAGGTGAAAAGGGAGGAGAGAGGATAAATAGGAAGAGAGTGAGAGAAGGGGAGGAGGGGGGAAGGAGGGAACTGGAAAGTTTGAAGGAAGAGCAAGGTGACAGCAGAGTTTTGAGAGGAATGAAAGGGGGGTGAGGATCAAGAGATTGTAGCGGGAGGGCTCAGAAATCACGAAAGTAGAAAACTGGGAAAAGAAGGGAAATCTGAAAGTCTGGAGAAAGCAAAGAGAAGAGTTGAGGAGAGAAGTAAAAGAGAAAAGGAAAATGAGGGCAGTGATCTAAGGGGCTGTGGACGTTGTCTTAGAGATGGCAAAAATGTAATAAATTATTGATCCCCTCTACAGCTGTTAGCTTCAAATGCAGTGTTTCCCAAAGTGAGGTGCAAACATTGTTGCTATGTAAGATGGCTCAGAAACACCAAACAACAGAGTAAATCACATCTGAGAAAGTTATTCCTTTTTCATTTAATTTTCTTTTCAGCCTTTAGACCAGGGGTGGGCAAACTTTTTGACTCAAGGGCCACAATGGGTTCTTAAACTGGACCTGAGGGCCGGAACAAAAGCATGGATGGAGTGTTTGTGTGAACTAATATAAATTCAAAGTAAACATCATTACATAAAAGGGTACGGTCTTTTTTTTTTTTTTTAGTTTTATTCATTTCAAACGGGCTGGATCCGGCCCGCAGGCCGTAGTTTGCCCACAGCTGCTTTAGACCATATCTAGGAGAAAGTTTCTGACAATATTAGGTCGTTAGGCCCCTATCATTTCAAAATTTCAAATTTTCACTAAAGAATAGACCTCAGGCTCATAGGTTTCATTAGGGTAGAATATAATAATATTTGCCCCCTTTCTTTCTTGGTTATTTCTGTTTATGACCAGATTTCCATTTGGTAGTGATGTATAGTTTCCTTTGAAAATTTATTCAGGCTTTTAGCAGTCAGATAATTTTAAAGAAGTGCTAGGTAAGTAATATAGATGGTATCCCTAATGTCAAAAATTGAGAATCTAGTCCATAAATGACTGAAATTCAGAAAGCACCTGTAGAGTGGTAACAAAAGAGGAAATAAGTTTTTGCACCCACATTAGGTGCAAAAGAAAACTGTCTTGCCTAAGTAACATAATGTTCACTTGTACGATGTTGGGAGGGAAAAAAATATTACAAACCTCACCAAGAGATTCTGCAGAATGATGTTTAAATTCAGAATATCCAGTGATTACTCAGTTATGAACAAGATGCGGGTTGGAAAAGATCATTCTTGGTTTGGGCATTTGTAGAAGGCAAGAAAACCACTACAATATAGTTTATGCATAAAATTCATTCAGAGTCCTGAGTTTAAACCCAATAATGGGGTTCCAATGTAATCATTCATGGTTGAACATTCAGCTTGCACTGTGAACCAGGCCATAGTTACCAAGAGATTCTTGGAATCTTGGAATATGTTTTTACAGAATAGCCTCAATTTAATCATCTGAACTCCCAAATACGTAACATTTAGGACTGGAAATAAGATTTCTCATTAAAGGATACTTTTAGACAGAGGATGGCAATGATATAGCTCTATAAATATTAAAATACTATAACGTAGAAAGGGAATTTTTTATACAAATATGGAAAGACCAATGAGTGAAAGATGGTCAGGAGCAGATTTCTGTCCAATATAAAGAGTGCTTTGCCAGTAAATAGATAAACATGGAGTGAGCTCTTGTGAGGCAGTAAGCTTTCTGACTCTAGAAGAGTTCAAGCCAAGAGATTTGTCAAGGTTGTCTGCCGGGGGTCCTATATGGGCCTGTATATGGGACTTGACAATTTCAAAGCTCTCTTCCAAAAGTCTGAGATTAGTATGTAATACCTTAAGTTAAAGAGAGAGGTGGGAGCTATCTTTCCAAATATTATTCTCTTTAGGATTGGGGTCACCACAAAGAATCTTTTGGTTAATTTCTGTCCTGATCTCTTCCAGGCAGAGGTGGAGGAAACCCTAAAGAGGATACAGAGCCATAAAGGGGTGATTGGAACGATGGTTGTAAATGCAGAAGGTAAAGACATCACGAGCTTCCTTCTTGGCTTGCAGAAGCCAACCAAGGCCCTGTTGGTTGTGCCACACCTAAGCCAAGCATCTTAGAATTTGGAAATCAAAAGCACATTTTGTATATTTTAGCTATAACATTTACTTATAAAACATCTGTTATCACATGCCAACCACTCTGCTAAGAACTAGGGATATAAATATGAAGCAGACATGTCTAAAAATGTCTGCATATTGCTAAGAGACACGATTGCCTTATCTAATTGTGAAAGCTTTGTTAAGTGTCTTTTAACATTTCAGGCCTACCAATAAAACTTCTATATTGAAGATAGGGAGAGTATCATTAGTGGCAGTTTGTTTTTGTTTTAACATCATAGAGGGTACAGGGTTTCAGTCTTCATTTTAAATGAAATTGCTCCTTTACCACATTTAATAAAATCTTTGAGAATTAGTTGTAATTTCTAGTATAGTCTTTGTGGTTATAGTATAAGAAGGGCTACTACATTTCCACCTATGAAATCTGTAGACTTATCTCAGAAACTGGCTCTCACCCCACAGTCCCTGTTAATCCACAGAGCATTTCTCTAGCACATTGCCTGCCTCAGGCTCAGCTATGGTGTTACCTCTTAAAGGCTCTTGCTCACTTCATTGCTAATTCAGGCATTTGTAAGGGCAAGAGGTGCTACAAACCCCAGAGTATTAGTTTAAATAAGAGTAGTTACTTTATATAATTGATGGTGCAGCCATGGGATTGGCACATTGCTAACTCAGTGCTTGGCAACAGAATCTCAACACTAATCATTGTTTTGGAGCAAATCCATCAATATTTATTGATGGCTTTAAAACAAACAACTGAAAGTCTGTTTAAACTCTGACCTTCAATCCCTTATTATTAAAAATGGAAAATCACCCACTTTACTGATGGTTGTGATAAGTGAGGTAATAACTGTCCAGTGCCTGCCACAATACCCAACACTTAATAGAATTATAAATAAATAGTTCTGATTATGCAGGGATTTTTAATTCATTTGTACCAATAAAACATATGATGTGTTTCACAAAATAAAGTTAAATTAAACATAACATCAAATGAATATAATACACTCAACTAGAGTGATCAGGAGGGAGTGGATTTAAGATCAGCTCTACAGGTAAGTCCAGATCTATGCCTAATATTTCCAGGAAGCAATCCAACCCTAGTGCATGGTTCTGGTTGAACTGATTTTAGGTCCATGCATTTACACAAACTCTGCCACACCCCCTCAGATGGGTTAATCTTTGTCACTCCACAGAGGTACTATATTCCTTTCCTTTGGCTGCCATAACAAAGTACCACACACCTAGGGGCTTAAAAAACCAGACAGTTATTCTCTCTTAGTTTTGAAGGCTAGAAGTTGAAATGAAGGTGTCAGCAGGGCCAAGCTGTCTTTGAAGGCTCTACAAGAGCATCCTTCCTTGCCTGTCTCCCAGCTTCTGGTGGTTCCCAGCAATCCTTGGCATTCCTTGGCTTGTAGACTCATCCCTCCATTCTTTGCCTCCCTCATCCTCTCCATTTCTCTTTTTCTCTTCTTAGAAGGACACTAGTATTGGATTAGGCTCCACCTTAATCCAGTGTGACCTTATCTTAACTAATCACATCTAAAAATACCCTATTTCCAAATAAGGTCACATTCTGAGGTTTAGGGTATACCTGAATTGGGGGGGGGCGGTCGGGGGAGACACTATTCAGCTCAATACAGGTGCATTCACCTGTGACATCCAGGTCAACTCACCTATGTGTTACTGTGGAAGATCTTAGTCTAAAATAAGCAATCCTGGCAATATGCATCAAATGTCTGAACAATGTTCTACCCTTTGATCTGTAATTTCACTCCTAGGAATTTGTCCTAAGAAGTGATGAGTGAAAGATTAAGTCCAAGGGATAATCAGTGAGGCCTAATATAGAATACCAATAAATAAATCTATTCCAGCAATTTTCAACTTATGTGCCTCAGAATTTTTAAAACGTACAATACCTGCTCTTTTCCCTTAAGTTGTCATAAAGAAATGACAACAGCCAACACAGTAATAGCCATCTGGTGTGAATGAATCAAAATTAGACCTATTTTTTGTCGTATTGGCAAAAAATATATTTTTTAGTGTGCCGCAGAATTTTTGTAATTAGTTTATATGTGCCATGAGATGAAAAAGGTTGAAAATCAATGATCTCTCCCAACAGTAGGGAAATTTTTAAATTAATTATGTAATATTTACTTGATGAAGTATTTCTTAAAATGTTGAAGAATTTTCAGTCATGGGAAACTACTCACAATAGTGGATGAAAATATCAGGGAACATAGCAGTACCCAGCATTTTCTAATAAAAAATATAGTCAGGCACACATATACACTTAAAATAAATATGGAAGAAAAGGCAGAGATATGGTGATTATCTCTGAGTGATGGAATTAAAAGTTATTTTTCTGGGGTTTCTCAACACTTTTTTCATCCAGACAACAAAATATTATTTTTAATACCCATTAACTTCTTCTAATTAACCTCTATTATGATAAGGTTGTGTTAGGATTCAGGGCACTCTTCTGAAATCCAAATTAACCTTTTACCCAAAAATATAAATAGGGGCTTATTTTTATGGTCATATTATTAATAACAGAGTACATAACAAGGATCTTTATTAATAGCATGTGGTATAGGTTGTATGACCAGAATGTAATAAAATACTCCATTTCAACAGCCTACTCAATTTTAGATGAAAGTGTCATTTATTATAGTGCAGTTTTATAGCTTTCAGAAGTCCCATGAAATTTGATTCTGAAAATATTTAGCTAAGATGGTGTTTTGTGGTCTTATTTTCTGCTAATGATGTTAGTCCACTAACTCTAGGCAAATCATTTTAACTTTCAGGTGGTTACATAGGCCCTCTACCATGTTTATGCACTGAGATCTTTTCACATGCCATATTAAATAGTTTTTTGGTTTCACTGTTATGGAAACATATACTTCTTATTCATGAAAATAAAGTAGACTTACCATTTTAGTCCAATGCTGAATGGTATAGGTTTTTGTTAGAGAAGATTCTTTGGTAACATTGATTTCCCATTTATAAAACCATTCATTATTTATAAGCTTACAGTACTGATCATTGAATTAGATACTATTGAATATGCCTGTGTGTATATTGGGTATCCCCAAAAATGTATACACACACTTTCAACAATTATAAAGACAGTGTTTATTAAAATACACTTCATTTTCAAAATTGAGCTATCAGCTGTTAAAGTGTGTATACATTCTTTTGGGACCCCCTGTATGTATGTATATCTGTCACATCTGTCATATATTCTTATGGATATAAGCCTGATTTCTATAGGGTCTTAATTTGAAATGTTCTTGACATTTCTAACAATCTATCCTTTGAATTTCATTAGATTTTATCAGCCTTTCAGCCAACTGCTTTTATAAATGTACAGCAGAAGAGTACCAGCTTACTGGGATCAGACAGAATCATTTTAAAGTAGTGTCATTTTAGGAATTTATACTACACATATATGCAAATGTGAAATGGCATGCACAAAGACATACTCTGTAGCCTTGTTTATAGAAGTCAAAGATTGGGAACAGCCTAGATGCCTGTCAGGAGGATGTATTAGATACCAGGTATATATATTACAAAGCATCCATTTGACAGTCATATTACATAGTCATTAACATGAATAAATGAGCCTTATGCATACTGAATGGAACCGTTTCCAAAGTGCATTAGATGAAAAAAATTTAAGTGCAGAATAATGATACAATCCTATATAATAAAAGGCTAATATGCAAATTAACCAAATGGCAGAATGACCGGCACTATGATGCACACTGACCACCAGGGGGCAGACACTCAATGCAGGAGCTGCTTCCTGGTGGTCAGTGTGCTTCCACAGGGGGAGCGCCGCTCAGCCAAAAGCAGGCTCATGGCTGGCCAGTGCAGTGGTGGTGGCAGGAGCCTCTCCCACCTCTGCAGCAGCCCTAAGGATGTCCAACTAATGGCTTAGGCCCGCTCCCTGAGGGGAGCAGCACAGGGAGTGGCGTGGGGAGCGGGCCTATGTCGTTAGTCGGACATCCCCCGAGGGTTCCCAAGCTGCCAGAGGGATATCTGACTGACTGCCAGCTTAGACCCTGTCCCCTGGGGAGCGGGCCTAAGCCAGCAGGTGGACATCCCCTGAGGGGTCCTAGACTGCAAGACAGTGCAGGCCAGGCTGAGGGCCCCCCTCCACCCCTGAGTGCACAAATTTTTATGCAACAGACCTCTAGTTAAAGAATACAAACACAAATCTACTTGAATAGGCTGGAAGGATCCCAAAGAAACGGGGAGCAGTGGCTACCTCTCAGGAGGGGAAGTGGGAGAATTTGATACCATGTGCTAAAATTACTTCCTAATAAATTATTTTTTAATTACCTTGCATGGTACCAAGCAGGAGCTTCATAAATATTTGTTGATTGATTTTTCTCAAGTGTCTATAGGGGATATGAAAAACTCCAAGACTTTCCACAGTGTGCACTTACTATTCAGAAAGGCTAGCTGTTTTATTTATCGCCTTGGATCATGAATAGACTAACTAAGTAGACCTGAGCATCTGATTCATATCTTGTCATCTGCATTTTAAATAATTTATTCTGGTTGTATTTCTTGTGTTGACACTGAGCAGTGCAAACTTTAGGTAGTCACATTTAGGATGCAAAATAACACTGTTTCTCAAAGGTGCTCTTACAAGGTTGAGTGTTGCTACATTCCACTCTCCTGCTTGTGCCTTGGGATGTTTCATCAGGTGTGAAAGACAACACTGACTTCTGGGGGAAAGTGGCCAACAAATAATAATATAAAAATTAACAAGTGTATATAAAACCTGATTCGTTGAGTAGGTTTTCCTGTAAATATTGTCCTGGCATTTTTTAGCAAGACCTATTCTAGAGATAATCATCTTCTTAAAAGAGAAAGCAATTAATCTATTTCAAATTCAGAATTGAGACTCTCAAAGGGTTTCATGAAAAACTAGTAAAATCCCAAGTTTGTAATTCTGGTCCACTCTTGAAGTGCTCATCTTGAGAGTTTCTGAAGTTACATTCTCAGAGGGAAAACCAAGAGTCGCGCTAGCCTCTTTTATTGATTGTCCTCAATTCAGGTACCTAAGGAGTGTGACAATAATCTCTAATTCACCTTTGTCTGTCCCCCTAAATTAAAGACACATTTGCAATTCAAATTCCTGGGATTCCCTGGCTATGTGGTAGTCCTCAAAATTATAAGAAGGCCGTTTCTGATTAGATACAATATATGCACATACCTAGCACAGCACCTGTTACTTAATAAGCACTGAGCGCTGAGTGACCTGAATTAAGCTAGATTGATCTGAACTGAATTGAATTATACTTGCATATTTGTCTGTCTAGACGTTTCCAGTTAAATAATAGGTCCTGTTTAAACACGTATCATGGAGCAGTAGAGCACACAAGTAGCCAAATTTAATAATGCTTAACCCAAGAATGAGTGCAAACCATGAAATGCCCAGCAAAACTACAGTGTCTTTGTTGCTGTGTTCTCCAATATAAAATTTGTTTTTCTAAATACTGAATGTTACAAAGAAATTTTGAAAATCCCTTTTGATATGCTGTCTAGCATGTGCAGTGATATCCCTTTCTAACTCTGGCCTTGGAAGAAAATTAGCATCATATCACAGACCAAGCATTTCAAAGCAGATTCTGTAGACAGGACACTTGGGGGAATTTGTTTTGTCTAGTAATATGCTCACCTAGTACTGAAACAGTTAACAGCTTCCAAAAGATCTGTGCACAAAAACATTCATCACACCATTAGCTACGAAAACAAAGACATGATACCTAATAATCCAACAGTAGAGATTGATTATGATATATTCATATAATAGTAAAGGGTATAGCCATTCAAAATAATATTGATGACATGGTCACCAACAAGGACAACCTGTATGCTGTCATTTAAATGAAGACAAAAACAATTATCAAATTTGTAATTATAATTTGACCCAAGTATTTTTTTTATCTTCACTCAAGGATATATTTAGAGAGAGGGGAAAAGAAAGAGGGAGGGGGGAAGAGAGAGAGAGAGAGAGAGAGAGAGAGAGAGAGAGAGACATTGATGTGAGAAACATAGATCAGTTGCCTCCCATATGCACCCTGACCAGGGGATCCAACCTGCAACCTTTTGGACAACGCTCCAACCAACAGAGCCACCCAGCCAGGGCTGACCCAAGTATTTTTAAAAATCTATGTAGAAACAAGAAGATTGGGAGAAAATAAACTAAAATTGTTACCAGTGGGTAATACCAGCCATCACTTTTTCTTCCTCCTAACAATTATAAGTAGTTTCCATATTTCTACAATGTTCATATTACTTTCATAAACAAACAAAAAAAATTTAACCCCAAATTAAATCTTGTACCAGGTATTCCAATTCGAACAACCTTGGACAACTCGACAACAGTTCAGTATGCAGGTCTTCTCCATCAGCTGACCATGAAAGCCCGGAGCACAGTCCGTGACATTGATCCTCAGAACGACCTCACCTTTCTTAGAATCAGATCAAAGAAACATGAAATCATGGTGGCGCCAGGTAATTTGGCATTTTGTTTCATATTTAAAGCATCTTCCTACTTTACCATATAAAAAAAGCTTTGTTTCAAAGAACAAGGAGTATAGATTTTAATATGCAATATGACACCTAATAATCTTCAATTACAAAATGAAGACATGTTTGAGTCTGAAATTTTCCACTTGAACATTTTGTGACATTGGTGAGGAATCTGACCTCTGAAGAAGTTGGATTTTGCCCACTTGCATTTATTAGTAGTAATCAAAACATTAAGGTGACCTTAGAACACCGATTTTCTGGAGAGCGGGAGAAATGTCTCCTGCCCAAGGGATAAAGTAGGGGTGGGTCACAGGCCTATAGTCTTAAGCTTCCTCTGTGGAGAGCTCACACTCCCCTGGCCTACCTAAAGACAGCAGCCACCAAAATACTTCTTTCCCTGAAGGAATTACATTTCCGGTGTTGGTAGATGCCAGTGTAAAACAGGACTCATGCTCCTAGATCTAGTCTAGAATAAAATTCTCCATAGCAGCACACCTGTATGATCAGAATTACCCATAAACTAAGTAAAGCCTTTTCTCACCCTGGCTGCACATTGGAACCACGTGGAGAGCTTTACAGGAATAATGATTGATGCCTGGACTTCACCCCAGACCAGTGAAACCAGGATCTCGGGGGCTGGGCCCCAAGTAACGGTATTTTGTGAAAGTTGGACAGATGATTCTGATGCAACCAGGGTGGAAAACCACTGGTCTACGCAAGGTCCAAGTGATGTTTCAAAGAGAAAAAGCAGATTAGCTGATGTATTCACTTATTACATTTAATTTCTAGAGTCCATTAATTCTGCCCATATCTTTCCACAGATAAGGAATATCTTCTGATTGTCATTCAGAACCCATGTGAATAGCCCTGCTACGTATAGAGCCAAGCCCATCCTGTGACACTGGGTTGAAAACACTTTACTCTTTAATGATTACTAAGATTCTATTCCAATAGAACTGATCTTTTATTCTGGACATTCTTTTCTATTTTTACATTTAAACTATTGTACATGTCTGATTTAGTTCCTTTTGAATGTATTGTAAAGTTGTGATTTAGCTACATAATAAATAAATTCTGGTATGTGTGTCTCTTTTCTTATATTACACAAAGTAAAAGAGTCTAGTGAGAAGACAGCCTTCCTTATAATAGCGCTTTTAGTTGAGAAGTGAACTGTCACCAAGAATCAGTGGAAAAGTAGAATTTTGCCCATTTTGTTGACATGCCAAGGGGATGCAGTGGGGCCCTGCGGAGCTACAGGGCAGTCCCCGCCCTCCAGGAGTGTTGGGTGCTTTCCCAGGTTCAGGGAGGACAGTAAGAGATCAGAAGGGTTGTTCTCAGCTGGGCCAGCACCACCGCCAAGCACAACCTCCCATCCCTTGCAAAGCCCCTCAAGATTGTGCTTTGGCCACACCAGCCTGGGGACCAGGAGCAGGTGTTGGGCAGGGTGCATACTTCAAAGGCTGACTAGGTAACCCAGAGGGTTTTGTTACTACTAAATCTTTCAAACATTCAGAAAATAATGAAAATCAAACTACAGATACAGCAGATTTTCAAGACCCATATAGAACAGATATTAATATTTTGCCATATTTGCCTTATGTCCTTTTTTTTTAATTAAGCCTTTTTATTTTGAGATAACTGAGGATTCAAATCACATTGTAACAGATAACATAGAGAGATCTTGTGTACCCTTACCGTTTTCCTCCACAGCAACATCTTTCTAAATTACAGTACAATGACGCAAGCAGGGAATTGACGCTGATTCAGGCTGAATACAGATTCTTCCCATCACCACCAGCGCCTCTCCTGGTGCCCTTCACCAGCAATCCACCAGCCCCTGACCCCTGGCAACCACTAATCTGCCCTACTGCTGTAATTCTGTCATATCAAGGAGATTATAGAAATGGAATAATACAGTGCATAGCCTTTTGGAATTGCCTTTCTTTGCTCAGCATAATTCCCTTGAGATTGATTCAAAAATATAAGAAATAAAACATTACAGATACAGCCGAAGCCTGCTCCTCCTCTGGTTCCTCTGTCCTCTCCTCCCCCAGAGGATTCTTGCCAGAGGCACAAGTCACTCTCCACCGGGGTCCACACGAGCCCGCACCTGAGTTCCCGAGATGCCTCCACAACAGGCCAAGCATGAGGAATGGTGCACAGTAGTTTTACTAGTTCAACTAAACCCATGGCCCCAGCTTGCATCCTGTGAGGCACCATGGCCAACCCAAGCAAACAGTGTTTGGGGCAGAAAGGAAGGGCTGGGGCCAATCCCTCAGATTTAAGGGGTTTACTCTCCAAGTGGGAATGGGAGAGGAGGTGGATCACAGATGGAACTCACTCAAGGCTCAGAGAGACAATGAACCCAAGCCTGTCCATACAACGGGGATATGATCCAGTACTGCTGGGGGTGGGGCCCCCCACGAATATACTTGGAATATCATCTCCAGTTATTTGCAATGACCTCCAGGCTGAGATCAGCTGAATGGTGGTCAAGGACAAAGGTTTGGGAGTCACGAGTCCTGGGTTCTTCTTATTCTGGCTCTGCCATTTGTATGCCAGTTTTGTTGTTGAGAATCAGCTGAGTTGGTTCATCTAAAGAGCACTCCCTCGAGTGCCAACAAGTGTTAGCAGAAGCTGCCTTCAGTATAGCTCAACAATGGCTCTCCCTAGGGTGGTGAGGAGAGTGGCCCGTGACACATAGAAATATGAGTTCCGGGAACAGCCTTGAGGTTCCCATATCATCCCAGCCAGCTGAGCCCGAGATTTACAAGGAAGATGCTGACCGTCTCCAGAGAGAACAGAACAAATGAGGAAATGAGCTTAAATTACAATCGGAGTGTGTTCTTCTTAATGTGTGGGATGGATAAACACAAAGGAAACATTACAGGAATGGAGAACCTATTCTATTGCACATATCTGACTTCCGAGCAATTTTCTAACACTTTATTTTTTAAAACTTCAGGCTTGCAGAGGAGAAGAATAAATAGCACAATGAACATCCATATAAGCTTCACCCACATTCACCAACTTTTTATATTTTACATTTGCTTCATATCTCTCTCTCTCTCCTCTCTCTCCTCTCTCTCTCTCTCTCTCTCTCTCTCTCTCTATATATATATATATATATATATATATATATATATATATTAAATTTTTAAGTATAAAATTGGAGTTATTGATATATATATCAATAACTCCAATTTTATACTTAAAAATTTAATACTGATATCCTCTAATAGAGTCATTCAAGTTCCCCCCAATATGTCTTTTATGTGTGTTTTTAATCCAGGATCCTATCAAGGGTTACATGTTACATTTGGTTGTTATGTGTCTCGTTTTTAGCTGTTTTCAGGACCCCATTTTTCGCTCTTCTTTACCTCCAGGTGATATCGAATTTGTATTTGCTCTCCCCAGAGTCCCCAGAGCCACCTGCTCCCCGTCCCCCTTGAGCCCCTGCTGATTAGACCCAGATGCAGCCTCAAGGAGAGGAAATTCAGCTGAAGAGCAGGTCTTAGTCACAGGTGTTAACCTTCCTTCTGCGCCTGACTCAGAGACCAGACATCACCATGGACCCACCTCATGCTTCAGCCCAGGGAGGTCTGGGTACCACAGTACCCACTCCCCCAGGGACAGCTTTAGCATCTGCTGACAGTTTCCAACATAAACAAGATCTTGTTAGAATACAAACAGCAAGGAAATGCATTGTTGAGGGAAAGGCCCACAGAGATCACCTGTCCAGCCCCTTGGTTTTACAGGTGAAGATTTCACCTGAGCCAAGGGTCAGGGGTCACAGGAATCAGGTATGTGGGTTTGTATTGGATTGGTCATGTCTATAAGCAGATGCTTAGGATCTTATCAGAGGGCTCCTGCTCTTTTGAGACCCCCTCCATAGCCTCCAAAAAAATGTTGGGAAATACATATTAGCTCATTGTTATAAAATGTACCAGAGGTAACCTTTGATTCCAATACCTAAATGTCATCTCCCCACAGTTCCCCAGCCCACCCAGAGCTCATCGGCAGATGCGTGGCTGAGTGGTAAAGCCACTTCCTTCCTCCTGGCCCAGCCAGAATTTCAAGCCCCATCTGCGATGCAGGCGTGGGAAATCTCTGGCAGATGCAAAGGACACCGCTAGTGCCGGGGCTCTGGGTGGGTTCTGCTGGGGAAGACAACCCTTCCATCCCACTGGGCAGTGAATTCTGCTGTGGTCCTGCCTGCACGTTTGCATCCAGAGGAAACTGTAACCCTTTGTTGGAGACGGTGAAGGTGGCAGCAAAAAGTAGAACTTGCCAAAGCCAATTACATCGAAGGATGATATGACCTTTGGGAGTTTTTACAACAGCTCTCTGCCTTCCGGCACACGGACATTCACGTTCCCCCTCGGATGCACAGCATAGTTAATGAGCTCTATTTAAAAGATGCCCGGACCTAAAGATACACAACTATACAAAACCATTGGTAACGCGCTCCTTTCCTATGAGAAGTACAAGCCTGGGCTCACTGGTGCCTCCCTTAGTCCAACTTGGTAGGAATTTTACCTGAATAATAGGAGAGCTATTTGCAGAATGTCTGGAGGAACATATCTCCACCATAAATATGAATGATAATGAACCTGGAAAGGCCAGCTTATAAAATAGCTAAAATGTATTTATACATCATTATCATTCTACGCTCCCAAATCTTCATCAACCAGAAGAGAATGGGTGAGAGCCTGCCCAAAGCTCCTCCAGGTGCCTCCCTCTCACAGCCTCTATTGGTTTTTCTTAATATCTGTATGCACTTCCCTCATATTTGTCAGTGGTGACCTGGTCCAGATAAGGCCAATGAGAGATGCTTCCTTGGTATTTAGAGTTGGAAGAGAGTCAGAGAGCAAGTCCCCATGTGGCTGGACCACTGCACAAACACATAGGTGTTGGGTGTGGCCATATTTTGCACAGGGGAGAAGCAGAGAGAGGCAGTTCTTAGAAGGAGAGAGTACAAAGCCAGGGCAGAATGATGTCCCATGGGTTCTCTGTAGGTCCTCGGCTACATTTTACCCTTGGTTTTCCTCTTTTGTGTACACTGACAGGGTGGATTTCATCTGTTGCCTGAAACCAAAAAGGCCTTACTTAACACATTTGGTCTATATTTGGGTCACCCCAGGCCGCTTTAGTCAGACACAGTCAAGGAGCCCAGTGGCTCCCCAGGACGTGTATATTAATCAGAGGCCCTGGACCTTCAGGAGGCAGACCGCTGGGCAGGAGAGAGGTGCTGAGACATCCCTCTCACTGGGAGCAGCATCTCTAGTTCATTTCCACCTGGTGAGTTGCCTCTGCCTCTGTCATTGGCTGGAAAGAGATGTGACCACCTGGACACTGGGCAGATGCATTCCCAAAGCACCACTCCAGGTGGCCCAGGGTGGCTGAATTGGCAGAAAGCCACTTGAGACACAAGAGGGATAAAGAAATACAGAACAGACTCACCAGATAACATACTACCCCCTTGTCCCCAAAGGCAGTGTGGTGCTGAAGCAAGGACATTGCTTTGTGGTTAGACAGGTCTGTCTTTGATGCCTTGCCCTGCCATCTACACTAATCTACACTAATAAAAGAGAAAGATGCAAATTGACCATACCTTTGTGACACCCACCAGCCAATCAGGAGTGACTATGCAAATTAACCCAACAAAGCTGGCAGGTTGATTTGCATAAGCAGGCACCGAGCGGCCAGGGGTGGGGCCGGATGCTTGCGTTCCACTGCCCCAGCCGCTCCGGGCCTCTGGGCAGTGTGGGAAGGCAAAAAGGCGGCTCTGGGCCGGAGCAAAGGCAGTGCCGGCAGCCAGGGGAAGAAGGCCCATTCTTGCACGAATCTTCATGCATTGGGCCTCTAGTTAATAATAATGATGATGATGATGATGATGATGATGATAATTTATATTATTTTCAGAAGAAAATAGGAAGAGGAAGGAGGGAT